GCGCTACCATGCCCGGCTGATTTTTGATTTATTGTAGAGATGAGGTCTCGCTGCCCAGGAGGGTCTCAAACCCGCGGGCTCAGGCAGTCCACTCACCTCAGCCTCCAAAGGCACGGGATTACAGGCTGAGCCACCGAGCCCGGCTCTTATTTTCTTTTGATTAGAATTTGCATGATATATTTTTTCTAGTTGTTTATGCTTATTCTGCTTAGATCATTATATTTGAAGAGAATTTCTTATAGACAGCATATACTTGGGCCATGGTTTTTTTCCATTCTGATGGTCTCTGTCTTTTAATTGGTATAGACTATTTGTATTTAATGTAATTACTTGTATGCTTGGATTTAGATCTGTCATTTTACTTTTTGTATTCTGCTTATTACCTCTTTTTCATTTATCTCTCTTCTTTCTTTTGACTTCTTTGGGCAGTGTGAACATTATTTTGTGTTCTGTTTCAGTTTATCTATTGTGTTTTGTTTGGACTAATGTCCAAAGTAATTTTTTAGAGTTGCTTTAGGATTGCAGTATACATGCTTACCTTTTTGCAGACTGTTTAGAATGAATATTTTACTACTTGAAGTGAATATAGAAACCTCATGGGTCCCTTTACCTCTCCCCCATTTGGTGCTTGTCTTATATTTACATTTGTTGAAAACCCAACTGGTGTTATAATTTTTGCTTTCATCCGTCAAACAAATACTAAAGAGTTCAAGAGAAAAGAGCCTGCTTTCTATAAAAAGCTTACATATACTTAGATGTTCTTGGGTTTCTTTTGTTCTTCCTTCATTCCTGATATTCTGGATTTCCTTATGGTATCCTATCCCTTTTTTTTTTTTGAAAGAAGCTTACTTTAGCATTTCTCTTGGAACACATTTGTTGGCAATGAAGCCTCTTAGTTTTCCTTCAGCAGAGAATATCTTTATTTCACCTCACTTCTGAAGGATATTTTTGCTGTATATAAAATTCTGGTTTGATAGATCTTATCTTTTAGCAATTAAAAAATGTTCCATTTGCTTCTGACTTCCATGGTTTCTCATGAAAACTCAAATTGTTCTTCCTTTAGTAATATATCGTTTTTCTCTGCTTTCATGATTTTTTTTTTTTCATTTTTAGTTTTTAGTGTTTGGTTGTAATGTGTCTGAGCATAAATTTCTGAACTTTTTAAATCTGTAGGCTTATACCCTTTTCCAGATTTGGAAAGCTTTAGTCATTTTTTATTCAAAAAAATTTTTTTTCAACCCACAATCTTTCTCTTTTCCTTTTGGAACTCTGATAGCATAAAATTAGGTCTTTGTTATTATCCCAGAGTTCCTTGGTGTTCTATTCATTTCTTTTTTCAATCATTTTTCTCTCTGTTCAGATTGCATTATTCATGTTTATCTTTTTTTTTTTTGAGTTGGAGTCTCACTCTGTCGCCCAGCCTGGAGTGCAGTGGCCACTCCTGGCCACTGCAGCCTTGACCTGTTGGCCTCAGGCAATCCTTCCACCTCAGCCTTCCGAGTAGCTGGAACTACAGGCGTGCGCTACCACGCCCGGCTGATTTTTGATTTATTGTAGAGATGAGGTCTCACCAAGTTGCCCAAGCGGGTCTCAAACCCGCAGGCTCAGGCGATCCATTCACCTCGGCCTCCCAAAGCGCGGGATTACAGGCTGAGCCACCGAGCTTGGCCTGGATATCTATTTTGAAAGGAAACTTCATATCATTGATGGACCCAATATCATTCACCATATATAGTAAAATCAATACTATTTTTAATTTTAATTTTTTTTTTTTTTTGAGTTGGAGTCTCATTCTGTCGCCCAGGCTGTAGTGCAGTGACACACTCACAGTCATCGCAGCCTCGACCTTCTGGGCTCAGGCATCCCGTCTGCCTCAGCCTTCCAAGTAGCTGGAACTACAGGCCCGTGCCACCACGGCCAATTTTTTTTATTTATTGTAGCGATGAGGTCTCGCCAATTTGCCCAGGCAAGTCTCGAACCCGCGGGCTCAGGCCATCCACTCACCTCAGCCTCCCAGAGCGTGGGATTACAGGCTGAGCCACCAAGCCCGGCTCATATTTATCTATTTCAAGTTTACTGACTCTGCTCTTGCTTCTCCTTACTTTTGGGCCCCATCCAGTAAATTTTTTATTTTCAGTTATAAAATTTCTACTTTGTTTTTCTCTGTGTCTTCTTTTTTTTTGCTGAGACTTTCTGTTTTTCCATTTGCTTCTAGAGTATCTTTGGTTGTTTGTTGAAGCATTTTAATAATAGCTGTGTTAAAGTGTTTGTCATGTTATTCTAACATCTGTCATCTCAGTGGTGTTGTCTGTAGATTACCTTTTTCCATGTGAGCTTGAATTTTTTTGGATTCTTCATATGCCCATTAATTTGGGGTTGTATCTTAGCTATTTTGAATATTATGCTATGAGACTCTGGATCTTGTTTGCATTTTGTAGAGAATGTTGGTATTTTTGTTCAGCAGACAATCAACCTGGTTAGGTTCAGGCCTCATATTCTGACCCAGCTTCTGTGAGTGTTGGTCCCACTGTAAGTTTTGTTTTCAAATTGTTTTCAGTGCTCTTTGGACCCATGCCACCTGTGTTCCATCCAGTGACCACTCTGGGATCTCTTTCCATAGTTCAATCTTAAAAGCCTATGTGTACCCATTTGCATCAGATCTATGCACATGCACTTGTGGGTGAGCCCAAAAGTTCAGAAAAACTTTTCCAAGGCCACTTTTCTGCACTCTTTCTTCTCTGGAACCTCCTCAATACTCACTGTCTGCTTCCCTGAGGTTCTTTTCATTTGTTGACCAGAAAGCTGGACCCATTCTGCTGCCCACGTTTTTGATGACTCCTGCATCTGGTTCTAGTTGATAGCAGGACCAGAAGGAAGAAAATTAGTAAACTCAATTCAGTGTTAACCTCTTTCTGAATCTGCCTGTTGCTTTTTACACTTCAGAGTTTCCAAATAGCTGCTCCATGCATTCTGTCCTACCCCAAAGTGGTACTTCTAAGTGAGTTTTAAAAATTAACTATAGATTTCCCCATGGTATAAATGATTATGTTATTGGAATTCATTTTTGGCAAGTGTTTCTTTTACTAGACTATCTGGTGTATTTTGTACCAGAGAACTTAATTTCTATCATTTTAGTTGCCCATTTTTTTTCCCCATACAGATGAGGTATTTACTGTTCTTCAGAACTTTGTCATGTCTACTACAGAGAGCATTTCTGAATTTATTCTCAGAAGACTTACTATGAATGAGCTAAATAGTGTAAGTATTCATTGGAGTAACTTTCTTTTTCATTTCTTTTATACTTTTCACCAATTTTTGAGTGATCACTAACTGGCAGTCACTGTATTAAATTTAAAAAAAATTAATTTTCTCAAGGAGCAACCTTAGAAGAAGCAGAACAAAATGTAGACTTTGAAATCTCCTAGTTTCAATTCCATCTGTATTATTAACTGTGACTTTGGTCAAGTTATAGATTTTCTGAGTCTCAGTTCCCTCACCTGCAAAAGGGAGGTAATACCTTTACATCTCAGGGTTTAGAGAGTTTGAATGATACATATTTGAAGTATTCCACACATTTGATGCATATTTGGGCTTTATATCCAGAAATTCTGCTGTAGCAGGCTTGAGATAGGATCTAGGTATAGGGGTGTGTGTGTGTTAAAGCTCCGTCAGTGATTCTTTTATTTATTATTTTGAGTAGGAGTCTATATCCTGCTCTGTTGCCCAGGCTGGAATGCAGTGGCACAATCACAGCTCAACCTCCTGGCCTCAGGCAATCTTTCTGCTTTAGCCTCCAGATTAGCTGGTGTGTACAGGTGTGTACCACCACACCTAGCTAAGTTTTTTGTAATGATGAGGTCTCACTATGTTGCCTAGGCTGGTCTTGAACGCCCGGGCTCAAGAGATCCTCCCACCTTGGCCTTCCAAAATGTTGGGATTACAGGCATGAGCCACCACACCCAGCCCCCATCAGTGATTCTTAAATGCAGTTATGGTTTGGGTTTTAAGAATAGAGGATGCTCTGTAAATGTAGCTGTCTTCTCTGTCTCTATACTCCATATAATTTGTTCTTTTATTACATCTAAAAAGAATTGATAAAGTTTTCCTTCTTTAAAAATACTTTGAAAATATCAGTTCTTATAGAAATGTCTGTTAATTTTTTATGTTTGAAATTTCTTAGAGGCAAATATTGATGCAGTTTCAATGCTTAGATTGTTAATAAAGTGATAAGAACTTTTATTGGAATACCCAATTAAGTACATTTGATAACTTAAGCAGGTGTGAAATGATAAAAAGACAGATATTAGACTGAATACTTGAGATTTTTATGATAGAAAGGTAAGAAAATATAAAGAAAAAACCCTTTGGAGTGGGGAGTATTTATCTTTAGTTTCCTTAATTCTTATCATGCATTTGTCAATTGTTAGCAGTTCTAACATATGTAAATTTCATAACTTTTTAAAAGTTTTGCTCCAATATCACTTTCTTATCCTTAGTATTATTTTTACCTTTTTATTATGGGAAATTTTCAAACAAAAGAAGTAAAATGACTCTCCATTGTTATTTGTTTTTTTGAATTTTGAAGCTAAAAGTAGCTCAAGAAAGGGAAAGCTTAATGTTGTTTTATCTTTTGGATACAACGATTTAAAAAATAAGTCCAATATATGATAGTTTTAAGTTATTTTGAAAAATCACTGTGTAATAAATTAGGTATTTCAATTTCCAGCTAAGTACATTTGTTTGGTAGCTTAGAGTTTAATAAAATCTCTTCACCCGCTTTCCCCATCTTAGCAGTGTGCTTATCAGTGTTTAATGACTGGGTCACTAGGGAGGGAAAGAGCCTCATTTGTAGTATTTACTGATTTCCATGGCTGATCTCAAGCTACCAACAGGCCCCAGATTGGAAAGAGATATGAACCGCCACCTTTGCAGTGCGGGCTGGCTCCCTACACTGCTACCTCACTTCTTAGTTCACAGAGAAATTAGTGGTTGTCATAATGGAATGCCCTAAATTTCAAGTTGTCAAATGAATGGACTTGCCTTCTACACCCACCCTCACACACACCTGAATTCATCCTCCCTCTCTACTTTGTTGCAGTAAGGCAGTTTGGATTTCATCCTCTTCCATTTTCTGAAGGACTTTTAAGGACTTTACACTGTGGATTATCTTCTTTCTTATGTTTTCGTCCTCTTCTTTCCACCTGAATTCTTTTTATGAGCATTTAAACAGGCTTAAGAGTCCCTCATTCTAAAAGAACCCTCTCTCAATTTCATGTTTCTTTCCAGCACCCAACTTCCTTTCTTTGTTAAGCTCATCTATAAGCAGACTTCTCAATTCCATCCTAATTTGGCTTTTGTCTGTTGTAGCACAGAAATGGTTCTTGCTGAAGTTGTCAGTGACTCCTTTGTCATAAACCTAGTGGATACTTTCCAAATCATATTTTCATTGATTCCTTGGTTCCAGTGGACACTGTTGACCAGGTTCCAATTTCAAGAGTGAACACTCTTGAAAAGCTGCTTAACTGCTATGACATCATCCTGTCTTCCCCTTACTCTCCCATCATTCTGGCCATTATTTGCATTCTTCTAATGTCCTTTATTCTCTAGCTTTTGAAGTCAGAGCTCTTTAAAGTTTCACCCTGACCCTTTCTTTTCTCATTCTTTCTCCAGTCTTTCTTAACGATCTCATCTGCAGTCCCAGCTTCAATTCTGCCAGGGATCCTCAAGTGTCTTTCCCCACCTCAGATTACTCTTTTGAGTTTAACACCTTCAGTCCATTGCCATATGATAAAGAGTTAAATTTCTCACACCTATGCCATAGTCAAAACTGAAACGTTTATCGTTACTCTTGTGGGAGGTTCTTCGGTTCCCATCTCAATGAGTGTACCACCATCCAACTGTTTCTCATGCCACAAACGTGGGAATCTTCCCTAGTACCTTTATCCCTCATTCTCACCCCACTGTTCAATCCATTTCAGGTCTAGTAATTGTTAATTTCTGTTTGCAGTGTATTCTAGCACCTGGCAAAGTACCTGGCATATAGTGGTTACCAAGTAAAAACTGATTAGAGTTGCTCCCAAGTGCTTTCTGTGTACTGTAGGAGGCCCCCTATGGAATAATAATAATATATTGATATAGTAGTCGGTGATAATAACTAATGCCACACTTTGTTCCATTTATCATTTATCATACTCAGTTCTCTCAGAAATCCTATGATGGATAGATATTGCTATGTTCAATTTATAGATGAGGAATCTGAGACCTAAAGAGATGAATTAACTTGTCCTATGTCACAAAGCTAGCAAATGGTAGAACTGGATTGAACCCATTTCTGCCTGGGTTTATGAGTCAAGAAGACCTGTGTTTAGTACTGTTTCTCCCACTTAGTAGCTCTTAGATATTGAGCAAATTGGTTGCCTCTCTGAAACTTAGTTTTCTTATGAAAGTGGGATGGGGATCTTCTTTGTGAGAACTGACTGTAAACAAAGGAATTGGTAATTGCTATAATAGTTGCTGTTATTATTTATGATGTGCTAGCCCTGGCATGTAAGAATTGGTAGAACATCATTTCTGCCATCCAAGGTCTCATAGTCTAGCTGGGGAGACAGATGACTCAATTGTGAAAGAATTGTGCTGGATGCAAAGTCACAGTGCCGGCACAGAGAAGCAGGTTTTTGGCTTTGCATGGGAAATTGTGGAAGGCTGCTTGGAGAAAAGGACTTTTTCTCTCATCAGTGTCTTGTTTTAGTACTTTAAAATAAACTAATTTATTTCCTCCCTGAATGCTTTTAGTTTTGTGAGGATCATGGACCTTGCTTGTACCATTAAGTGTTTTCATGTTTGTCTTAGGTTTCAGATCTGGATCGTTGCCATTTATACCTGATGGTGTTAACTGAACTCATAAACCTCCATTTGAAGGTTGGGTGGACAAGGAGTAACCCCATTTGGAGGGTTATTTCTCCTTTGAAAAATGCATCCATTCGGCATCTTCAAGAGATGAATGGTGGACAGGTGAGCCCCTTTGATTCCACATTTGTAGTAATGTTGAGTAAGACATGTGGAATGCACATTTACTTGTTATACTATTTTGATATCATAAAAAGCATTTGTTAAAATTCAGTTCTTAAAATAGTACCTTCTGGTAATAAGATGTGATTGCGATTGGTACTCCTGACATAATATTAAACATATAACAGGCATGGTAACTTCAGTCTTAAAATCACTGAGATACAGACAGTGGACCTGTGCTAGGTCTTTTGCCCAGACATGTCCGGTGAAGGACACTGTAGTCAGCCTATCATTAGAGCCCTTCATGCTGGACTTCCCCCCTCCCTTTCCAGCCTACCCCTCCACTGCCTTTCTTCCTCCTTCCCACAGTGCTCCTGTCCTGCAGCCACTCTAGGAAACCTTGGAGTTTCACAGATCACAAGCACATGTAACGTCTTCCTCATTGGGGTTGTCGTTCAGTCTGTCCCTCCACAGAGGGTGCCTGCTCCAGTCTGCGCTGCTCAGTATCTGGTCCTTCCTTCACGGCCCTTCTGGAATCTTTTTTCCCTTGGAGCTCTTCGTGGATTATTGTGTCACTCTTTTCTTCTTTTTTTGTTGCTCTTTATGCCTCCATTACAGTGTGTATTTCCATCTTTCTTGGTTTGGGGGTAATTTATGCACATAAATCTCCTCTACTAGATTTTAATACCTGAAGGCATTTTTAAAATATAACACAAGAAGGCATAGTGATGATGAGCACAGGCTTTGGAGTTAGACTTACTGGGCTTGAATCCTGGCTTTATCCTTGCTAAACTGTGTGGCCTTGAAGAAATTACTTAACCTCTCTGTGCCTTATTTACTGCTCCTGCAAAATAGGGATCGTAGAGTCGATGAGGGAAGGAATTAAAGTGCGCTAATACGTGCTAAATGTATAGAACAGTGCTTGACACACGGAAAGTCATCGATAAACGTCAGCTGTTTTCACTTAACAAGTGGCAAGTAATAAGGTTGGAGTGAATAGTAGTCTAGTCTGGGTCAGGAATAAAAACAGAGAAGCTACTTGATCGCTGTAATACTTTAATTTTTATATCCTAAAAGGAAACAATAAAGAAGATAATTACTGTTTCAGCATTCTGTCTAGACCTATTATCAGTTAGGGTTATGAAAGACAAAATCATGTAACTATTCCACAGTAATTCTTATTCTTAAAAATTGGCTTTCTTTAGTAATTCACTGAATTACTTTCAGGTTGGCTCAAAGGTAACACGAAACTTTATTTCATTTGTTGGTCGTGTTGATGTATAAAATTTATCTGAAGAGATAGTTGATTTACTTTTGGAGTGTGAGTGGGGTAAAGAATAAGAAGTAGAAGGTTCCTTTCTGATAGATTACTGACTGGCTGTATTTGAGAGGATTGCTGTGATCTGTCAATACAGTTGTTTTCTATGTCTAAGTTCTTGCTTGTACTCTTAGCTTGGTTAGAGATGGTTGATTTTCTCTCTCAGTGTAAACCCAGGCTGCTTTGGTTATGCTCCTTTTTGTTCCCACATGTAGAGTTCCAAGTGTTTTACGTGAACTAACCCATTTATTTAATTTTTACAATAATTCTGTGAAGTAGATTCTATTACTGTCCCCATTTTATAAATGAGAAAACTAAGGCATAGTAAGTCCATACTTACAGAGGTCATAGTACAGAGCCAGGATTTAGACCTAGGCTATGTGGTTCTCGGGTCTGGCTTTTTTTTCTTTTTTCTTTCTTTTTTTTAAGAGAGAGATGAGAGTTGCATTATGTTGCCTAGGCTGGTCTCGAACACCTAGGCTCTAGCAGTCCTTCCACATCAGCTTCCCAAAGTCCTGGGATTACTACCATGCCCAGCTGATTGAAGGAATTATTTGTAGTTTGGAACCTTTATTTAAAAAACATGTTTCAGCATACAGTTAAAATAAGACTCACGTATGGGAATGTTGTATTCACATGTGTATGTGAGTAGGAAAAAGATTGAGAAGTACTTCTTCACATACAGCTTTGGATTCTGGGTGTACCTGGTCTGTCATATGTTAGGTCTTCTTAATTATCTTCTTAATTTGATTTGCTGAGTTCTTATTGCTACTTCACATTAGTTCACTGCCAGTCTATAGAGAACTAGCACAACTAAATAATGTATATTGGATTTTCTTTTATTTCTCTGTTGTTCAGAAGCAGGAAGAGGGCAAAGGAAGGCCAGAGAGTTCTATAGATTGGCAGCACAGGTCTTTACTGATGAAGACTTGCTGATGTTCAATAAAAGGTGGTGGGTTTCCTCCTCAGGAACCAACACTTGGGAGTCAGATTCAGAGAGTAGTTAGTATGGCTGCCTTGGCTACGGTGTGTGAGGCCACTGACCAGAAACCTGAACTGCAGCTGGATTCTCTTGAAGCTGGACCCATGGAAGGATTCCTCTCCTCTCTTCCACTCAATCAGACACTGCAGAAGCCCCACACAGAGCAGCAAAACAGGTAAGCTCACACCTAAAAGTGCAGCAGGTTACAGGTTTAACAATACACTTTTGTTGTTGTCAATGAGGTAATTAGGGATCGTCCAGTATTTCTTGTAGAGTTACAGGATTTTGGAGTTGGGACTCCATTCAGGGTGAGAATGTATTATCATTATTTGTCTCTCTTGCTGAAAGTCTGCAAACTTTTCAACTTTTCTGCATTTAGTTTTCGGTAATTATTTAAAGTGAGTATAAGTACTCACTTTCAGGGAAGTTAAAAAATGGAAGTTTATGGGGCTTCCTTGTTTTTTTTGGGCAGATAGGATATTTGAGAACGACCGTTAACATCTGTTTTCCCCCTTAAAGACAGTGTGCTACCTGCAAGAGAAATGGAGATAAAATCAGGGAGTATGGCATAGTAACTGTATTTTTTATTTCAGTTTTTTTGAAGAATCATCATCTTCCCAAGGATGGGGGAAAATAGTTGCACAGTATATTCATGATCAGTGGGTGTGCCTCTCCTTCCTGTTGAAAAAATATCACACCCTTATACCAACCACAGAAAACGAAATTCGGGAACTCTTTCTGCCTGCTGTCCAAATGCCAGTAAGGACTTTGCAGTCTGCACTAGAAGCCCTCACAATTCTTCCTTCTGATCAAGTTTTACCAGTGTTCCGTTGCATGAAAATTTTGGTTCCCAAGGTGAGATATAGTGAAACATGAAATGAAGAATAAATGCAGAAAAAACACAGTTTCTGAAATTAAATGAGTATTTTTTTTTTTCCCTACCAGCTTCTGAGCTCCTCTGAATCTCTCTGCATAGAGTCTTTTGACATGGCTTGGAAAATTATATCTTCATTAAGCAACACTCAGCTGATATTCTGGCCTAATTTAAAAGCTTTCGTTCAACTTGTTTTTGATAACAAAGTTCTTACCATTGCTGCAAAAATGAAGGGCCAGGCATATTTAAAAATAAAAGAGGTAACTTTCTTTTCTTTTTACTGTGTGTGTCACCTTCAGCAATTGAAGAAGATGAAAGTTATGTTTGTAGCTAGGTATTAGATTTATTGTTCTTTAGTCATTCAATTAACAAATCTTTTTGGACCTTTGTAAATGCCATGAATAAGATTGAGAAAACCTGTCAGATGTTGAAGAGAATGTGCTAGATGGTAACCCAGAGCCACATCTGCCTTACAGACATATTTTATTTGGTTCTTTCATACAGTGTTTAAAATTTCGAATTAGTTAGCAACTTCTAAAAATTGGGAAATCTGCATGAAAATCTGGATTTCTCCTCTCTTGGAAAACTAGATCACTTGCCATCATTGCCATTCCTACATGCAAATCTAACCGTTCGTCTGGAGCTGAGCAGGAGCTAGCATGCTCTTGGCACCGTCAGTCCTATTTTTCCTGGAGGCAAATATCAGACACCGTTTGTCACTGCATTTAGGCTAGGGTTTTATTATGTAGAGAAATATTTGAATATAACCGTTATCAAAAATTCTTGCTGCCTTCTGAAGGCATTTTCATTTGTAGCCACTGATGCAGTAGGGAACACAGCAAGGTGGAATTCCGTATTGTCTGGGAATGCAGGTCTACCACCTGATCCAAGGGGAAAGGAGAGAGTAAAATCCCTGTATTACCTTGCTGCCCTGTGCTGCCTCTTGGTCCTTCTCTGTCCCACAGTACATACTTAGGGACAGTAGTCTATGCTGCCTCAGGCAATGGGAGGCCGCTGACAAAATGCAAGGGACACTGAAAATGTACAGGCTGAGGTGTTTTTTGGCCTTTCATTTTACGACTGTGAGCAGTTGTTTCTCTTGAAGAGCTCTGGATGAATATTACTACCAGTAAATTCTTTTATTTTTATTATTGAGAGATGATAAAATTAAGAGTGATTATTAATCATCTTACAAAATTATTCTAAAAATAAAGAATTTTAAAGTGTTTAAACTATTCATGGTTGGTTAAAACTGTCATTTGAAACCATTCAAATAACAGTTTTTAGGAACACTAAATTTTTTAAAACTAAATTGGTCAGAGGATAAAATGATTGTTGTGTTTCATTTCAGATTATGTACAAGATAATTGAAATGTCTGCTATAAAAACCGGAGTCTTCAATACATTGATAAGTTACTGCTGCCAGACTTGGATGGTGTCTGCTTCAGACGTGTCCCAAGGATCTTTATCAAGTGCTAAAAATTATACTGAACTTGTCCTTGAGGCTTGTATATTTGGAACTGTGTTTAGGCGTGATCAAAGGTAAAAGATGCTATTATTTCAACTGGTCGCAACTTGTACTAAGTACCTACTTGGGTAGAATTATGTCTTTGTTTTGAGGCTTTCAATTAGAGGAATGTAAATTATGAGTTAACTTTAGTGCTTTAATATTTTTCCTATTTAAAACTTGTTTGTTCTTTATCAAACTTTTTGTATGGAAAGACTTATTCAGGATGTGCAGACCTTCATAGAAAACCTTGGACATGACTGTGCAGCAAATGTCATTTTGGAAAAGTAAGTGTGGTAGATTTTCTATCTTGACATAAATGAAACATTCAAGATTTGACATCATAAGACAGACATTCTGCATTTTTTAAACTTAATAAATGTTATAAGATAGTGGATGTACCTTCTAAAAGTATAGTAGAAGTTATATTCCCTTGCTAATATATTTCCTTCACATTTTTAACTATTTACTAAAATTGGATAAACTTTTGGCCGGGTGTGATGGCTCATACCTGTAATCCCAGCACTTTGTAAGGCAGAGGCAAGAGGATTGCCCGAGCCCAGAGGTTCAAGACCAGCCTGGGCAACTTGGTGAGACCTCATCTCTATAATAAATAAAAAAATTAGCCAGGGGTCATGGCACACGCCTGTAGTTCCAGCTACTTGAAAGGCTGAGGCAGAAGGGTCGCCTAAGTTCAGCAGGTCAAGGCTGATGTGGCCATGAGCCTGCACTTTACTCCACCCTGGGTGACATGAGATTCTGACTCAAAAAAATTTTTAATACAACCATTTGTTTTCTTCTGCTATTTATCCTAAATTTAAAAGTATTATCAGTAAATATGTACCTACTTAATTTTAGAAAACTTTGGGAGGTTTTGCTATTTGTTATGATATTTGAAACTAATATTTGATATTTTGATTTTCAAAATGTATTAACATGGTTTATCATTTAATATTTTTAGTACTAAAAGAGAAGACCATTATGTGAGAATATGTGCTGTCAAATTCCTGTGTGTATTAGATGACTCAAATATGTCCCATAAGTTATTCATGGAGGATCTTGCAATCAAGCTATTAGATAAAGTAAATATGCTTTATTTTACTTTAAAATTTTGTTTTTAACAAGTCAAAGTCCAACATTTGCCCTTTATGTTGCTAGAATGTGTATTTCTAAATTTTTTTTTATCAGAAGAAAACGACATTATGTTTTATGTTTTTAGCTAAATCTTGATTAGTAATTAATTGTATAGCTCAAGTTTGGTTTGAGAATACTGATGATAATGTTTTTCTTATACCATCTATACTTCATGCTGTGTATTTTCCAGTACCAGTTGAAACCAGTTATCTTTACAGTGCTATATTCATACAATGTTTTATGTAAGAAAACAAGTTAAAAGGTAAACATTTAGAAAGTGGCATAATGTTTGGAATTGATTGCTGTGATTTGAGAGTCCATGAAAGATTACCTCAGGATGTGTTTCTAATGTAATACATTGTTATTTGCAGTTCTGGATTTGTGGTGTGTGTCTAAGATTAATGAAAATTTCCTATTAATTCAGAAAAAAATGCAGTTAGGTTTTTTTTGAGCCTGCTAAATCATTTCTAAATGAACATTGCAGTAGCTGAAGAACAGGTGTCATTAAGTCTGGGGAGAAGATGGAAAGGGATGAAGTCAAGTATAACGCTCTGCTCTTTTCAGTCTTGAAGGGTGGAATTTGAGGCTGAGATGAATGGAATGCTCGGTCTGCTTTCTCACTTGGTTTGGATGCTTGGAACCCACTTAAGCCACCTGCATTGAAATAGGAGTGTTCATCATACTTTTATTTCCTGCAGGAGGCCGATCAACTTTTTAAATATAAAAGCTCGGAAATATTTTTTATTGCAAAAATTCCCGCCCCTGCACTGTTGGAGTCAGGGGAGATGTCTCAGAGAAAATGGTATTTTGTTGGTTTCTAAGGATGAGTGGAAATTTAAAATGGTGGGAGCTGGATAGTCTACCAGATAGAATACAAATACGTGTTATAATATATATTTAGTTATTTAAATAGGACCTGAGGGAGGCCCTCTCTGGTCAGGTCACTTGACAGTACAGCAGGAGGACACCAGGAGAGGCTGTGTCCTGAGGCAAGGGAGGAAAGACAGTACTTCACGGAGGAAAAGGAGGCTGCTGATTGGCCATGAGATTTGGCTGCCATTGGTTACCTGGACAAACAGCAATTTGGAGAAATGGTGGAATGAGAACCTAAGTAGAACAGGTTGAGAAGTAAATGAGAGCTCAGTGAGTGGAGACAGTGAGTATAGGCACACTTGGGAGTTTGCTTTGAAGAAGAGGGAGTAAAGGGGTGGCTCCTGGAGGGACACATGGGATCACGAAAGAGACGTTTTAAAGATTGGAGATAATCAGTGCTTGTCTGTGTGTTAAAGGAAATGATCCAGTAGAGGGGGAAATGTTAATTATGGAGAGGCCAGCAGTAGGTAATCACACAGGCAAAATCTTTTACTAGCTACTCTTACCCATTGGGACGACTATTAAGGAAAACAAGCGAAATATTCAGTGTTGGTAAGGATACAGAGAAACTGGAACCCTCATATGTTGCTGGGTAAGAATATAGAATGGTGCAACTGCTTTTGAAAACAGACTGGAAAAAACAAAATGATTATCTAGCACAGTGGTTTGTAAAACATGTTTTCTGGACCAGCATCAGTGCTCCTGGGGACCTTGTAAGAACTGCATATTCCTAGGTCCTACCCCCAGCTACTGAATCAGACGCTTTGGGGGTGGAGCCCAGCAATCTGCTCTAATAATCTCTCACAGTGAAGAGTTTAGGAGCTGCTGGTCTAGCGGTAATGCAGGCCTAGCTACAGCCAGAATGCATATTTTTAATGAAGTCAGTTGCAGCAGATTTTTCTTTTCTTCAGTAGTGTCTGGGAACTTGAAAGAAGGATCAGAGAATTTAAGACAGCTGAGTTGGTTCAGCAGTAGGGAATTTGCAAATAGCTTTGTGGTTGTAGTAAAAGGAACTGCTTATGCTGTTGAAGATACTGTAGAGCTTATTGTTGGGGTGTGAGTTGGAACAGGGGCTCATGAAACTAAGGAGGCTAATAGACAAGTAGAGAAAAGAAAGATATTGTTTAGTAAAGGAGCACATGGAGTGGAACAAATAAAAGGACAGAAGATTTTGAGCTGAAAAGGAAATCTGAACGCTTACAAGTGAGGACAGTGACTTGCTGAGGTCCTAATGGCAGGTTTATTGATGTGAAGATACTTCTTCTGAAGGCATGAGTGATCTATCCTAGTGATTTCATTTAATTGCCTTGCAGTTGAGCAGTACATGAAACTTAAGATACCTATATCAAAAGAAAACTTTTCAAAAGAAATAATGATAATAGAGGAGATCATGAGATTTTATCCTTGTCAGGAGTCATTAAACTCTGTATTAATTTGGAGGTAGGGAGGGGAGCATGTAACAACACAAAGGGTACCTTGTCCTGTGCTAGGGAGAGTGAGGGCCAGTTGGAGGCTCAGACTTCATCTGCATGCAGCCTACTTGTGAGTTGATCCTTGCTTGTACCCTACCTCCCTAAAATAAAATAAAATTTATAAAATAAAATATTTAGCTATCATCATGAAATTTTGTACACAGTCAAGTGTATAGAATGAGATTATGGTAGAAGAAAGACCATGGAGAAGTTACAATAAGCCTGATGTAAAAATGGTTCTGGAGGTGGTAAATGACTTTTCACCTGGAAGACTTTTGAAAATGTTACCACAGTCTTCAATGCAATCTTGGCTTCCTAGCTAAAGCACTATAGTTATGGTAACAAAAGTAAACCTGGAAGTTGACTGAATTTAGGAACAAAGACCATTTACAGCCAGAGTGAGCTCTCTGTTAAGGTGAAAAGGCTTAGTGCTGCCCTTTTCTTGTGTCTGGAGATGGCCTTGCGCTGTCTCATGTACTGGGGTGGCTCTGTCTCAGTGGTGTTTGCATCATAATTGCAGATACTGTTATTCCAAAAGTGAATAATGTAAAGAAGCTCAAAATGGAAAATGCCTATATGGCGCATGGTAGTATATGTCAGCTATCTCAGTCTCTTCTTGACCCTGTGACCCATATCTCCCAGTTTTGTGGTTCCTTTTCTGATGTGAAAGGCAGATAAGTTAAACCAAAAAGCAAGTAAGTTCAGTATTTTGAAAGGAGATTTTTAAATGTCCTTCCTTGTTTTTTATTTTTTTATTTTTTATGTTTATTTTCCTGACTGCTTTTGCGGGGACAGAATACCCCTCTGTCCAATTTAAGCCTTTTTTATTTGAAGTTGTCATTAATTTTTTTCATTAGTCGCAAATTCAGTAGGTAATTTAGTATTGATCTCTTCCCCTCTTCTCTCCAGGATGAATTGGTATCTAAGTCCAAAATTCGCTACTATGTGAATTCTTTACAACACAGAGTGAAAAACCGAATATGGCAGACTCTGCTTGTACTTTTCACCAGATTTGATCAGGTATAACATTTATTATATTTGTACCTTTTAAGTATATTTCATACAAATAAACTAGAAACTGTGTGCTATTTTAAAATTAAAAATGAAATGTTTAAAAATTTATACTTCAGCTTTTGAAAAGAGAAATTATTCAGGAGATTTTATTAATAGACAATAGCAAGGTAATTAGTTACTGTAGAAATAAATTGGAAGCTGGTTTACGTAACCTCATTTCATATTTTTTCCCTTTTGTATTTTCTTTTTTTTTTT